CCCAAGTCCTCCTCAGGGCTGCTGTTCCGAAGTGGCATACATGAGCTGAAGCTGGAGTTTGGCTGTGGATGGATTGCTCTTAGGAGACTTTTACGAGGCAGAGCTGACTTGTTTGCAAAGCTTCAGGTTTTACAGCAGAATGCAGCTTCTCTTTCTGCCTCCCCCCAGACCCAGCTATCTCTAAATACAGTACCATGGCCCTGCTTCACCGTGAACAGTTTATTTATCTCTCGTAGGGGTAGTAACCAGGCTTTTATCTCTCTCTGCCCTGACAGAGATGCATCAGCAAGACTGGAGAGAGCTTGACCGCATCCCGCTGTTGCTCTCTGGCTCGGCTCTTGGCAGACTCTAAATTGAGATACGCGTTACCGTGATTCTTTGGTTCAAACTGAAAATCAATGAATTGCACGTGGCGGGGGGGGCTTTCTTCTTTGATTTTACTATCTCAAGTTGTGCTAAGCTTTGTTTTTCTTTCTCAGTCAGATTCAGAGGAAGATGAACCAGCAAAGAAGAAAAGTACTGTTCAGGTAAATGGTCAGGATATCCATTTTAGCAGCTTCCATGGGGAAGGAACGTTTGGCTGTGACAGACCTTGAGCTTCCGCTAGTGTCAGTCAGCCACTCCGATTAGCGCGTGGCTTTGGGTGTTCTCTGAAATCCCCTGGGGTGTCAAGCCCCTTTTTTTGGGGGGCAGTTTAATACATATATATCGCAGGAAAATGGGCCTTAATTTGGGAAGTTGGCAGATAGTTGCAAGTGTTTCCCCTAGAAGTCCCACCGGCCTTTTGTGCAAGAAAGCCTTGCAGTGTGTTCGAAGTAGCGGCCGATTCTGCTGAGCCACAGGAAACCCGTTAATGTTGTTAGAATTGGAGCAGATAACGGGCAGGGAGTCAGGAAAACTCAAGAATCTCACAGTTTCTCTTATTTCTGTCACCCATTTGCCCTGCATGAAACTCACAGGGACGCGGCGAGGGCTCTGGCTTGTCCGCTTTGCTTCCTGAACCCAAAAACTTGACAGTGAAAGAGACCAATCGGTTACTCTTGCCCCACGCTTTCTCGAGGAAAGCGGGAGAAAACGCCTCCGACTCAAAGCCCGCCAAGGCCCCGACCTCTTCCTCCAAAACCAAGCCTCCGGCCAAGCCCGCGGTGCCCACCACGCCTTCTCCGTCCGCTATCAAGGCCGCTGCCAAGAGCGCTGCGCTGCAGGTAACCAAGCAGATCACGCAGGAAGAGGACGACAGCGACGAAGAGGTCGAGCCGGAGAACTACTTCTCCCTGTCTGACAGGAGCGAGCCCAGCGTCGTGGCCGCCGAGACGTACATGTACTCTGGCACGGTGGTGTCGGAGGAGCCGCCGCCTGGGACAGAGCCAGAGCCCCAGTTCCAGGACGCTGCTGCTAATGCCCCTCTGGAATTCAAGACGGCTGCGGGCTCCAGCAGCGCTCAGCACAGCTGGGCACCCAAACCACCCAGCCGTACAGCCAGTTCCCTGCCTACAGCGAGCCTGGCGTGGCCGGGGCGTATTATCAGGTGAGTTCGCGGGCTGAGAGCTTGAAGCTTGATGGTGCTGCTCGGAAAAGGCACCTGGGAGCTGCGCCTTGTCCTGTCTGACCCGTCTGAGGAAGCTGGGACAGGGGGCAGGGATCCGCAGCCCGTAGCCCGACAGGATTCCCCTGGTAGGAGAGCAGTGGATGCGCTTTGCTGGGTTTCATAGCTGTGCTCCTTCTCAAATGCTGCTGCGCAGCTGCCCCCATTGTCAGGGCGCAGCGTCGGGGCTCGGCAGAGCTGGTGGCTGGGCCAGGTTGTTTCTAGTAATTCGACCAAGGGTTTGTGGTTGGGTACCTCTGAAAAACACCCTGTGCTCGTCGGCAGTGGTGAGATGTGATTAATGACTCGGTCAGCCTTGGGAGGGAAGTACCTGCTGTTGTCCCCAGGGGGGTTGTGAAGTCCCTCCTGGTGACAGCCCAGGGGAGAGGTACGCGTTTTGGCGCTCTTTGGGGCACGATTGCTTGATGTAGCTTTGTGCTCATGACAAACTGGGTTTCCTTTTGCTGACAGGATTACTACAGCAGTGGGTACTACCAGGAGGTGGAACCAGCCCAGGCACCGCCGCAGGAGATGAGCTCCGACTCCTCCTTCATCGACGACGAAGCGGTTGGCACTTTACTCTCTCTCCCGCTGCAGGGTTTGCGCTTAAGCTCTGCTGGGACGCAGGGTCCTGCCCCAGCACACGGCCTGTGCTGAGCTGGGTGGGGTGGCTGTGCCGTGGGGTCTAGGGCTGTGTTGCAGACATGTGCGGTGTCCTTCCGCGCTGCTGCTCCAGATGGGTTGGCTGCTCTCTAGGTAGGTGATGGTTGTTATTTCCACCGAGCCCAGTCTTATCCTCGTGAGCGCTATCTAGCGCAGACGAGGTGTGTAGAGCAAAGACGCTGCTTGCTGAGGTCCAGGTACCTTCACAGTCCATCCTCTAGCACAGCGGCGAACTCCTCACTTGTTTCAAGCCCTCAAAAACCTGTTTAAAAATAGCCCTTTCCCACTGTTGATTGGATCTGCAAACTGCTGGCCTGCTTAGCTGAGCCAGGCAGCGCTGCAGGAGGCAGCGCCCAGCTGGTGCTCACTTCCTTCGCTCGGGAGGTGGATGTGTGGGACGGGAGGTGGATGTGTGAGCAGCCAAACTTCAGGTGCCTGTAAAAGCAGACGCCCAGCAGCCTGAGTATCTCCTGAGCCTGGCTGAAGAGGAAACGCTGGTTTCTCTTCTGCGCAGGAAAATGAGATTTATAACGTTCATGCTAAGTAGTTTTAAGTGATCCTGATTTATAGCAAAGCAGAAGTCTCCTAAAGAAAAACATCCTGGCTGGAAAATTGTTTGTTGATGTGCCTTGTCCTGTGCTGGGGGAGCTGAGGCCTGGACTCCGTCTGCCTTTACTTGTTCCAGGTGAGCGCTGGTGTAGGATGGGGGTGTGTAACTCCGGTTGTTTCTGTTCCTGTTTCAGTTCAAGCGTCTGCAAGGCAAGCGGAACCGAGGGAGGGAAGAGATCAACTTTGTGGACATCAAAGGTGACGATCAGCTGAGTGGAGCCCAGCAGTGGCTGACCAAGTCCTTAACAGAGGAGAAGACCATGAAGTCGTTCAGCAAGGTGCGGGCAGGAAGGGGGAGCGCTGGCTGGGATCTGGGAGACCTCTGTTCCTGTTCCAGCCTTGGCTGGAGCACTGTTAGGTGCTGTGCAGTCACCGGGGGGGACACAAGGACCCTTGTCCTGTGTGTGTAAAAATAATGACCTGCGAAAGACCAGTAGAACTTCTTAAAACATCAGCGGCCAGGAATGGCTTTGGCCTAAGGAACCTGCCCAGAGCCTTCCAAGGCTTCATGCGCGCTCTTGCCGTGTTTCGCTCTCTGGGTCAGCACCTTTCCAGGCTTAAGAGTCCACCTGCCTTTTCTTTCTAGAAAAAAGGTGATCAACCCACAGGACAGCAAAGGAGGAAACACCAGATCACGTACCTGATCCATCAGGTGAGTGGCCTCCCGCTCGCGTGGAAGCCGATCCAGGCAGAATGACAGGGTTTGCGCTTGGCAGCACGAGGCTGAGCTGGGGACGGGGTGGCAGCGCCCTGAGCCCCGGGAGAGACCAGCAGCGGCTGCAAGTGTGTCCGTGGCCTCTGCCAGCCCGAGCAGCCTCGCGGCAGCAGCACCTCAGCCCCAGGGTGTCCCGGCACTGAGCTTCTAGCTCGCTTCTTGCTTTGCTCCGCGCTTTCCCCTCCCGCCCCGCTCTGGCGCGCTGTGCGTGTGACGAGACCCTCCGCTGCCGCCATAATTCCGTGCTGCGGCCGT